AAACAACCTAATTTTTCTCCTTCCTGTGAACTGGGTTTGCAACAGAAAAAAAACCCCAACCTTTAATTAAAGATCCTGTTCTGCTTGGGAATAAAGAGTCCTAGGCACAGTTTGGTCTGTATGGAAGACACAACACTTATTCTACAGGTATCTCCTTTATTGTCAAGAATTTCTACTGGAAATGGTCTTGCTTTTTAGAATTCCCTCTGTCAAGAGAGAAGCTGATCTTCAAGCTGCAAATGAGTATTTTTAAGGCATGAAGCACCAATAAAGATACTGCATTCATGTTGGCAGACAATCAAACTATGTCTCATTTGATATACTGTCCTAGTTTTGCTATTGAGACATTAAAGCACAGAAAACTGAAGAAACTTAAGATGGAGCAGTTAAACAGCAGGGAGCAGAAGAACTCCTTCAATTTTTCTGCTTTAGCTTCAAAGCTTATTCTACCTCCTATAAAAGCAAACAAAAAAGCTCAGCTGACTATTAAGTCCAGAGCCCTGTACAATTAGTAATTTAAAGTTCTGAGGAAACAACATCCTAAAGACAGACAAATCCTGACAAAGTCCATCTCGCCTTTCTCAAACGTCTTTACAGTTTAAATGCTACCCTGTTCAGATTACATTTGACTTCTAGAGACTTGTAAGCAGAAGAGTGAAAACAACGGACAGCACAGAAGCAGGGCTATTACCTATGACACCGAACACCATCACGATGTCACAGGGTGAAGTCTACCCAATCATAGCATTCAGGTAAGTTAAACCTTGAGTACATATATTCAACTCTAACTCATTAGAAGGTTATGATATCTGCTGGGAAAACAAAGCACAGGCAATTACGCACAAAACTTCCTAAAGACTATGGATTACGTGTCCTCCTGTAATGGTTTGGGTATGCACAGGAAAGAAGCAAAGCACAGATGAACTTTTAACTGCTTGATATCTAACACATTTGGGACAGGAGATCAAAAGGTGAAAGCCACCCTGATAACAATAGCTAAATTCCTTTAAGTATGGGGAAAGTCAAAGATATTGGCCTGCAGTGACAAATGAGGCCACCAGCAGCTTAAGCTGACCATTGCAGTTTGAAATCAATAGTGAGCACAATTGCTTCTTCTGGAGAACACATCCACAATCATCCAGCACTGTGCAGAAGGGTGAGCCTGAGGCGAAATTGCTACGCGTAAGAGCCAGGCCACCAGCCAAGACTCAAACACCTCAAGCAGCTAGAACGAGTGTCCTCTGATCAGCACCACAAACTCAGAACAACTGGATCAGCATGAGCAGATGAGTGTGGGTGTATGTGAGAAATAAATTTAAGATTTTATGTCACTCGGTGCTGTGCTTCTGCTTTTGTGCCTGCCTCATCACTCAACTTCCCCTGCAATACAGAAAACAGAATCAAAGGGCTTAACTATTGTCAACAGATCCTAATGTTAGGGAGAAGGTCACATTAGCTGGCTGTTTTATAGTCAAGAGTAGCGGGTCCAGCATCTGACCTCTCTCCAGGGTCTGTATTCTACTAAACCATACACTTTGTAACTTTTCCTAATATATAGTAAAGGAGCCAAGTTGTTGTCCATAGCTGAAAACAGAGCACAGCCTTTGTTATTAATTGCTCAAAATGTTCCTTTCTACGGTGGGCACAAAATGCTTCTCTAATTAAGGATAATACCTGAGCAATATCAGTCTGCCTCACAAACACTTGCTTTTAAGTATCCTAGCTAAATCAGAGTTAGAAATATTTCTAAGTAACTCTGGAAACAGAATCAAGTTTGTGGTTTGGTTTTTTTTTAAAGGAATACAAGGGATACACTGCTCAAGTTAAGCTAGTGAATAACCCCAAGCTGTAACTTTGGTGACTCATAAAGTTAAGTTTTACACTAAAAGCAGCCTCCTTCTAATGTTTTTATGGACTTCCCTCCCTCTTGAAACTGCAACATCTAGAATCAACTGCTGCTTAGGGGCATGGAATGGCAAAGTCCTGCCTCTGGCACACTAAGTCACCAACTCCACAATGCCCTCCTCCAGTCTTAACCCATCAAGCCTAGGATCAGGGACAAAGAATATTAGCACAGTAGGAATTCTACTTCTAATCTAATTAGTGAAACATGCTACCTATAGTTTAGATATTTCCATTTTTACAATTACTTTGTGGATTCAGAAAATTCAATACAGTGTTGATGTTATTTTGTCTTTATTTATCTCTAATTGATAAATATAGTCAGTGAATTCCCAGTATATTTGTATCCACAGATTTTGGTTCTTCAGAAAATGCTTTAATTCTATTTTTACATGTCACTGTACCAATACTAGAGACAACATTTAGTATTTATATATTAGAATTCTCTCTGTTCCTCCACTAGCAGTTACAGAGTCCTCAAAGAAGAATGAGATGGGAGTACAGTCAAGAAAATTCCTGCTCACATTAAGCTGTTCTAATCAACACTGGTTTTGAAGTTAAAATACCCAAACTGCAGACTGCTCATACACAGGGAGCATGTTCTGTAAAGGGGCTAGCTTATAAATGGCCCAAAGTCAATCAGGACTGTAATATTAATTTCTTCACATATTAACAAAACCAAGAACAGGTTAGCTCATTTCTTGATTTAAGAATATTTTAACTTTAACACCCTTTCCAAAAAAAAAACCAAAAAAAACCCCCAAAAACTTGCTTCACAATTCCTCAGATCACTTACTTGCAATAGGAAGGAACTGAAAGCTTGACAAGATGCACCTATACTTGAAGATGCAAGGAAAACACTAATATCCAGCTCCCATGTGCTGGTAGGCAATGAAAGACGCATTACGATTCCTTTACTTCTATACTCTCACAACATGAATGCAGAAGAAAATGAGGATTGACTTTTCTCCCACTTTTAGGATTTACTTCTCAATGAATACCTCTTTACTGACTCTCAGTCTTTCTAGTCCAACCTCATTCCAACTAAAAACACTTTTGCAGCTCCAAAGAGTAAGTGGCTCCCACTTTAATGAATCCTTGCACATAATTTATTGTTCATAAAAACCTTAACAGGTAAAGCATCCTGTAGGTCAATAAGCAGTTTTTGGTTATGTTTTTATCTTTGAGCAATAGAATGAAATAAGCACTTCTTGCAAGTTCCACTCCTTCCCAAAGAGTGCTTTGCAAACCAGTTTCACTAGCAGAAAGTGACAGGCTGGTTTTACATTGGGAATGTGTCCGAGTCTATCCCTTCTGCCTGCACTCATCCACCCCAAAGAGCAAGCAATCAATCACAGGAGATGGAACTTCTGCAGGGTTGCTGGGTTAACAACTTTCAGCTGAGGGTGAGGGCTTTTAGCCAGCTCTTCCAAGAATCGAGATCTCTATCAAGGTACAGAGAAGCATATTCATCTTCATCGAGTTAGGGGAGCACCAACATTTCAGCCTCTGCATGAAACTTCTTCCCTTCCCTTTAGAAATACATTTTCTGTCAATGTTACTGCTTCCTCTTACAGTAACTGTTTCTTCCCTCACAATCTTGCAGCACTTCTCTCAATTATTTAGAAAGCAATTCACACTCTGAGAATTCACAGGCGTAGCCATGGATGAGTGCCAGTAAACAGGTTTTATCAAGTCATCACTACCCAAACTGCAGCATCATGTTGCCCAAAGTTACAGGTGAGTAAGCTCTGAACAGGTGCATTTTGATATCTCCCTTTCCTCCAACCTAAATCCTTAGTTTTTGGTCTGTTTTTGTTTTCTCATCTATTCTACCAATATGGTGTAATTAACAGCACCACTCACATTTCCTTCTTCACTGAAATCAACTTTATCACCTTTTTAAACCCAAAATTTATAGAATTAAGGGTAGTTTCAAATACAGCATTAAGAGCACTGCATGGTCATTACTGTTGCTCATACTTTGAATTAAGAGATCTTGGGAGTTCATAATAGATATTGTTATAGATACCACACAAGCCACTTCAGCCTCTTCTTAAAGCCTCAAATTTAATACTGAAGTTCTAATTTTTCAACTTGTAAAAGGCAAGCCTCTCTAAGGCAATTAACCTTACAGAGTAGTGATGCTACAGAAGGAAACAAAAAAAAAGTCAACTTGCAGACTAATATAAGTAGCAAAGGAAAAGATGAGATTTACCTACAGTTTAAAGAGGATTAAGTCAATTTTTCTAGCAAGATGGCCTAAACCTTCCCCAAAAAGGTCAGAGTTCAGTCAATTTCAGGACAACAGAGAATTCAATTCATTCTCTTCTGATGAAAAGTAAGGTTTGGGCAATGGCAGTGTGGATTAAAGAATCTACAGGGCATCTTATTTTAGAAATAAAAGTTTAAACACATATGTTGTTACATGGCTTGGATAGTACCATATGGCTATGGTACCATATGGCTATGAACATATGGGTAGTTCACTTTTTAGTGAAAAAAAAAAAAAAAAGAAGCAGGGTTACTGGTGCTTTATTCCACACATTCATTCTGTTCATCTCAGTCACTTGGAAACTATTAGTGAGATACAATTCCTGTACCCTTTAGTGTCCCCACCTGAAACCATCTTTTGGCAACACAGAAGCAGTAGCAGGTAACTACAGTATTACAAAGCTTATCAAGAACCAGACAAAAAAAACACAAAAAAACCCCAACAAAAAGAAAACCCCACCAAGCAGCATGGAATTTTTCAATCCCAGAGGATACAGCAGAAGAATGAAACAGAGCTCAGCCCAGGTCTCTCTTTAGATTTGCAGTCAGCTGCTATAAACTGTCAGCACACTAGTAACCCTCTACAAAATGTATATATTAACTTGAGATAATGGGGACTGAGCAGCCATACCTCACATCATTAACACAACTTGAACCGACACAAAGAACCACCAGAACAGCCAGGCCACCCACCAGCAGAAAACAGACCTTTCTCCCTTCCTGCATACCTGGTTCCCACCACACTTCTGAATGGTTCCAGCAGCTGAATCAAAACATCACTTGCATGAGGTGCACTAAATCCGCTTCATAATATGAAAGGATACAGCCTTAGTGCTCCAGTTTGAGTCCCGATGGCCAGTATTTTCTGAACAGGATCAAATGCCAAGGCTGAAGGTTGATAGGGGAAACCATGGCGTACAGTCTAACAAGTCAGAGCATCACAGTAATGATGGGTCAAGCAGCAGACCAAAAATAAACAGAATCAATATCGTATGTTAGGGAACAGGATTCAGTGTTAATCACAATTAAGAAAGAAACTACAAAGCATTTTAACAACAGGCTAAGAAAATCAGCTGTCTTACATGAACCAATTATAAAAGTTTTTTTTAGTCATAATTACTCATTCATCCTTGATCATCAAGTGACAGCCATACTTACTGAAACTTAATTTGAATCTTACATTTCTTCTGTACAAAGACTGTATCAACTCAGCATTTTATTTTTTCATCTACCTCATTCTCCACGGCATCTTATTTTCAGCTCTAACAAAGGCACTAAACCATTAAAATCTGAGGTGTTCCTAGGAAGTTTGGCAACAAAGTCAGACCTATCATTAGAACTATTACAAATTACTAGACCTGCTTGTCTGACAATCACTTCAATTTCAATCCAACAGGCCCCACATGACAGTGCAACCTCTCTCAGCACATTAAGAAAAGAAAACAACCCAAGCTCCATAAAACCAATCTCTCACCCTTTGCTTCCCCCAAAGAGAAAAAACAGCCCCCAAAACAGACAAAAACAAAAAACATCCCACCAAACAAAGCAAACCCCCCCCAACCATGGAATTCTTTTGAAGCTACTGGCACATTTAGCTTTTTGGTTAGCCAAGACTAATTTGGTAATTGACCAAGCGATAACTCCATTACACTTCTCAGGCTGCAATTAATCAGAATCAAGAACATAAGAGTGTCACTTACTCTTATTTCCCTTATAAACGTACACAACATAAGCCAGCTTTTCCATTTCAAACCCTTTAGTTTAAAGGAGAGTTATTTTAGGACCTCATAAATGCATAGCAAACTTTGGATGTACTTTTACTTCACTGAAGTTGCAGGCATACCCTGCAACTCTCAGTATTTCACAGTGAATAAAATCTAACTGGTAACAGCTCTGCTCTTTTCAATGTCCTTCATGAACAACTTGCAAAAGTGGCAGAAACGCCTGCAATACTAGATAAAACAAGGAAGAGAATCCACAAACAAGCTCACCCATATCAAGCTAGGCCACGGGTGCATTGTAAAGATAAAAATGGGTATTGATATTCAAATCAGTTTTTATTCCTCTTGGTACAGCTGGTGGATTAATTCGCTGCATCATTTTCTGAAGTGTGCAGACACAAACCGCAGTTATCGTTATCACGCACAAGCAAATAAAAAAACAGGAACTCTTCCTCTGTCTCTGGAGAAGATTTGCGATAGCGGCATAGGCAACTTGGCAACACACTGCAGCAAAACCACCACAAACGTCTACAGCCTTTTTCACGCAAAGGAACAGGATAAATGCATTTCCAAATAATGCAGAGAGACAGATCCCCTGTCCTTCGGGCCCATTAGCAGAGGCTTCTACTCAAACGCCACGATAATCAGATCTGCACTACAGCTAGGTATAACTCCTTCCCCCATCCATCCCACTCCTTCTACGAAGCCTTCATGAACACAGTCAACATTACACGCATGAAAGAGCCTAGAAGACGACAAACCCTGAAACTCTCCAGGAAGGATGACTACAGAAATCCAACGAGACCTGTACAGCTACACCCACCGCTTCCTTCCCTTCTCCACCCACCCACCCCGGAAAAAAAAAAACAATCCAAACAAGTAAACAGGAGCGGTGGGCAGGCTCGGCGAGGCCGGTACCGAGCAGCAATGCCCGCAGAGCCCATCGCGGCGGCGCGCCCCCTTCCCCGGCCGCCAGCCGGCTCGGGGCTGCAGCATTCATTCACCTTGCAGAGCTGGAAGTGCTCGGACTGGAGCGTCTCCTGGATTTCGGTCTCCCGGTTCCCCGCCTGCTGCTGCTGCGCGGCGGACGACGCCGAGGCGGCGGAGGAGACCGCCGTCAGGCCGTCCAGCACCTTCCTGATGTTAAATTTCCTCATGGTCTTCGGCGGCGGCGCCCCCCGCTCCCCCGGCCTCGCCGCCGCCGCGCTGTCACCG